GATTGTCATTCTGTTGTATCCATTTCTTTTGAACAGGTTACTAACAACATATGTTACATGACATTTCACTCATATCAAGACTTCATCAGATACACTCTGCATGTACTGTACACTGTATATGTGTTACTGGAACTAGAGAGATTTTGCTATTCAAATGTCTGTATGCAGTAGAACTTTCGATAAATTCAAAGTTCAAGGTCGATCCATCAAAATCAAAAAATCATACATTTTTAAATAACATTTTAAGTGATACATTTAGATATGTTTGCCTACTTAATTACTTTATTACTATGTAATGAGATTGTTAGAACAAATGTGGAAGTTATAAATCATACATTTGAATGGGCAGGTAAAGTGCTTCATAGACAAAGTCTATTTCATCCATTCCAATATTATATTCCACCCATAATGATATTAAAGTCAACAATTTTGTTAGAACAAATGTGGAAGTTATAAATCATACATTTGAATGCGCAGGTAAAGTGCTTCATAGACAAAGTCTATTTCATCCATTCCAATATTATATTCCACCCATAATGATATTAAAGTCAACAATTTTGCAATATGCTCAAATGTGACTGGAATACTTATCGCAGTTATCACTCACCTGTGAATATTGCACCTAAGTTATCGCTCACCTGTGAATATTGCACCTAAGTTATCATTCACCTGTTAATATGCACCCATTTATCACTCACCTGTGATAATCACACCACAGTTATCATTCACCGTGTTCTAGAGAAACTAAACCTTGTATCACAACACTGATGGCAAACTGTTGACTTGGAAAGAGCTGTTTGCAAAAGCTGAAACAGTTGAGGATGAGTACTGGGTGAAATTGGATGATAATGATAATATTCAATAGATTAGAGGTATAGTTTAATAACAATAATATTTATTCAAATCAATCAAAATGGCAATAATTATAGTTGCCAGAGGGCAGAGACATTTGAATAAGTAATAAATAATAAACAACCATTCTTATAACAGAGTTACTGACATATATAATAAACTGATTGACATTGAATGTAATCCTAATAACCATAAAATTTAAACAATGGCTTCCTTTGATCAAAGGGAAGAAAAAGAACATTTTTACGTTTATGAATCAACTATACCGCATATCACAACACTGATGGCAAACTATCAACTTGGTAAGAGCTGTTTAGACCGAATTAGACCAGAATTATATGAGATAAAAGCTTCTAGAAAGGCTCCTGTATTAAACTATACTAATAATATTTGATAAGTATATTTACCTTTTCATGACTTTTGATGCGAATTAAACCCCCTGCTGAGAGTCAAGTATCCTAACAGAAAATAAATAATCATTATCGTTGATAAAAGCACCGATGGCAACAAGTATGACATATAAAGTACAAATTACTTAAGATCCATGAAGTATCATGTTTTTAAAATATATTAAAAGATCTAAAATTTTTTTAAATTTTTGAATTTCCTGCCAGTTTAATTTGAAGGGAAAAAAACGATGAGCAGAGTTTTCCGGTTTAGGTTTTTTGTTGATTGATTCTGACTCTTCATCACCATGGTCATGTATAGAGATTATGTATATTCTTGTGTAAGTTAAATAAGGACGGTTTTGTAAAATGTCATTTCAGATTGAGAGAGGCATCTCGTTTAGAGATCATTCCTATGAACAATGGAAACATCAACACTACCCTTGATGAGAGGAAAGAGGTTAACAAATGCATGAAGGAGGCTTCAAGCTCAATAGGAAAGTTCTTTCAAGACGGCAGTGCGGCAGGTATGTGCTAAGTGCAAAACAGCGAGGATTGTGATATTGACCATGTTCCCTAAAGTAACTCTGCATCAGTGGTAGAACTGTAAAGCAAAAACTAAACAACAGGCTTAAGGATTGGGTCGAAACCAAACCAATTCTGACAAGCCACTGGTGGTCTGCCATGTGTTTTCCAATCTGACTACACCTATGGAAAATAAAAAAATAAATAAAAAGAATAAAAATAAGACACAACTTCAGTTCACATTCATGTCGAATGGCTAGGACAAAAACAACAAAGAGAAAATATCCTGAAGTAGCTACATACATGGAGAATATAGACCTTGTAAGGAACCCTTGCCTGTACTGTGATACTACGTGACATACTGAAGTCATTCTAAAACCTTTGGACCCCACTTAATGGACAAGAAAAATTGAATCTCTAATATTTCAAAATTCCTTTTCACTTGGAAAGGATTCTGAATTAAAAGAAAAGTTTGTTGAATTCGTTTCTAGTATAACTTAATTCATATCTTCCTGATTTACTGTTGGTATTTAAGCTTACTGGCACTTCCTCACTCGCATTCCCTAATTTTTGTTTTATGTATAACTTGAAATGCTAGCCTTTAATGCAAAGTGCGCTAGGCAGCGACTACTGTAACTACTGTATACTTTTTGAATTGAATAAATATATAATGAAATGAAAAATAGGGGTAATTGGTTTTGTGTAACAACCTGTTTCGATTTCTAAGTCTTAGTTTTGTCAAGTTATTTCTTGGTCCTTTAATATTCATGAATGGTAATCATAGTTTACGATCAGAAGATACAAAGTATTAATATATTTTGCAACTGAATTTTTCAAACTTGAGAAATATTTTCTATTTCCTTCCAAGTGCACATGTGCAGTGATGTTGATAGCTCGGGTCTTTATGTCTTTGGCGCAATTTTAACAGGGAAGACGCAGATTCCTTACCTCAGTGCGTCCAATCTGTAAAATCATGACGCAGTCTACGATCTAGATCAATACCTGAAATCTCCCGACATTGAACTAAATAAACCCCTCTTGTAAGTTCTAAATTCAGTTTGTTTATTTATCTTTTTTGACCTTTCACCTTTCGATGATTGATTGCAATTGCTAGACCCCTCTGGGAGTCAATTACGGGCCTAATTTAGAGACGGGAAATCTGATTAGTCGAAAGAATGTAGCGTAATCGGGCAGAACTCCCCACTGACCAATCAGTAATAACGTTTCATTCCTGAGTTTGGGTTTTAAAAATGCAGCTGAGAAAGAAATTAAAAAACATCGCCAGCGATGGCAATCTAACCTTAGCAGCATTTCTTCAAAGAAAGGCAAGTCATTTTGCATTTTATTATTTATTACTCTACTATTTCTACTGAATGTGCAATGACATCACGATTATTCTCCCACATTGACATGCATTTATTATCATCCAAATTTTCTGAGTCAGCATTATCCCTACCCGAATTTGTTTGATTTGGAACTTCATTTTTTAAATGCCGAACTACCGGCGAGTAAGTGTAAAATACAGAGAACCTCTGGCTAATTTTGGGGGGTTTAAGACTTTATTTTTTACTGCCGTACCCCATGAGATCAAGTGAAACCCCTGAATGAAAAATGATAAAATACAGGGGAACCCCTGGCCAATTTTTTAAAAATATAATTTTACTTTATTGCTTGTTTCAGAAGCAGGAGGGGGTATAAAGATCGCCGCCTTTATGAAAAGAAGTGAAATTATTCCAGTGAACTACTACAATAAAATTCTTATATCATGTCCATTGAAACCATTTCAAGTAACTTCTCAAAGTGTCAAGGGTCTAGAGAATTTAAACACATTGATTCTTTAAGAATGTGTAGGAGGGTCATTGGTATATAAGGATCAATAAAGTTATGGCATTGCACATTGAAAACCTATTGTATTTTTTATTAATGGATTAAATTGAAATACATGAATATAAATTTTTATTAAATCGCGACGGAAAAAATGTCCCCAAAAAATTGAAATGACCCACATTTTTAGTTGGAGTTGGACATTTTTTTGATGCTCCATACTTTAAAATTTCTATCGACATCACTGCATGTGGGAATTCCCAGCCTATGGACCATCCAGAGGAGAATGTATGCTGTAACAGCATTCCTGAGGTGATGGGCCTAAATCACCAAGCCATGCTCCAGGGGGAGGTTCTCAGTTCCAAGATGTATTACTCTGAACCCTGGGTTCCACGGGCTATGCATCAATAGACTGACGCTTATTAATGCATGGAGGACATTTAAGAAGCAGTATCCCCATGACTTCAAAGGTGATTCTTCCAGGAAGATGAGGCACATTGCCTATATGCAACTTGCTCTTGCAGCATGGGGGATTCTTTGGGTAAAGGTTAGCACTACCCTCCACCAGAGGCATTTGAGAAACTGTTTCAGTTTGTAGGGTTTCAGGAAGCAGAATAATAAACATGAATTAATAGAGCATTAGGCATTTGTTTCTTTATCTTTTGGTATTGCAACCCTTATTTGAAGAAACCAATTTAAAACTAAATAAAGACAACAAGACTAACAACTTCCATCTATTTTTTAGGAAGAGAGCTAATTGGTCATGTAATGGAATATTTTTTCAGCTGAAGTTCTGAAGGAGATGAAGGTCTTCCCACGGAGGTTGGACAAAGCAGAGGCCAAACAGGCAGAGTTGGATGCAAAGCTTTGAAGAGAAAAAGACGCAAAGGTCACATTTGACCAAGTAAATTGACTATTATTCACAATCTATAGATACTGATGAAGTTGATTACGTTACATGGCATCTAATGCAAGAGGTAGGCTATACATGTGATATATTCAAATCATTATTTATGTTTTGTAGGATACTAAAAAGTTGATCGCAAAAAACTTCTTCCCACACTTCCCATTCAGTGATCCACTTGAAGTGAAAGATATTTTGGTGAGTAAATGAGCTAAAAGCAATTTTCAAACAAAACTGCTTGTTTTAGTTTATCATAGGGTTTCTATATTAATTTTATTTGCAAAAAAAGTATACATATGACTTTATATAAGCCTTCATCATATTTTTACATTTACATAAAACAAGTGTAAAATGCTCCAAAAGTAGACTAAATAAAAAAACAGGCTGTGGATTATACATTTTATATACAATGAATATTTGTTTCAGGCAAAACTGAAGAGGATTGTGAGGAATTGTAATGTTGCCAGAGGTCTTGGCTTTATTGAGGCATCAAGGATTTACAAGGCCAGGTGAGGGCCTTGAAAAGCCGCATTCAGACAAGTGTAAGTTCATACTCATATAGTAATATATTTCTCTCATATCTCGAGAATCAGATCACAGTCAAATTGCTGAATCTAGATTAAACAGTGATCTTGAATTTACAATGGTTTTCTCACGGTTCGAAACATGATGCATTTAAAGATAATGGATAAGTGTATCATGGAGCAAGAATTTTTAATCAATCATTGATAACCATGCAAATTGAATGGACTTTCATGGATATTAATCTATAGGAGAATTTTATACCGACAGCCTGCATGTACACTGATGGTGCTTGCAAGGTCCATGAGCATCGCATGTGTTTTTCAAAGTGATTGTATGTATACAGGGTGTTCTAAAACTAACAGGACTGGTGCAGTTATTTTGTTAAATATGCGCCAATTCTCATCAAAATTTAACATAATGTACTTAGTTTTTAATTTGCATGGATTTGTATGTGAAGTGCATTTGCATATGTTGCTTCTTTTTTATTCCAGTTGATAAAGAGCACTCCAGTGTGTGACACCCAGGGCTCAGAGTCCAGGGCTTGGTTCTTGAGAGTGGCTCAGGAAAAGGGGATTGAGGCAGCCCTGGCTCTGGTGACGTCCTCGGTCAAACAAGATAAAAAGTCAAAAAGAGGCATCGATGATATTGAAATCCATGCCGTCTCTATCATTAACAATGGGAAGGAACAAGAAGACATGCATGATAAGACATGCTACTTGAATTTATTCTTATTTGTCTGTGGTAAATTCTTATTCTTATTTTCCTTGGAAAAACACAAAAATCTATTGCAAAGATTATTCAAGGTTTCCACCCAAAAACCCTGTCTGATATGGCCTTCTCATCGCTTGGTTTGAGTACAATGAGTGCCAAGATAGACCAACTTAAGCTCACTTTTTCCCTGTAGGGAAGGTTGTGAGTCAACTCTGCTAAAACTATTGACAGTGGTGACAGCCCAAGTAAAGAGGACAAAAGTCTTGTGGGTGGAGACTCACGCGACATGTTTTTTTGAGATGGTGAGGTATATGGAATTTTTTCTGCATCTTTATTCGATTTTCACACTTTTGTACTTGATTACAACCATTCGATATTCCACTCTATTAAAATGGTTTGAAACACGTAATAAATTTGTTTGTTTTTACACATTTATATTTGATTTGTGTAACTATATATGCAATAAATGCACTTGTATATGCGGTTCATGTTATTCAGTGTTTGGTAAAGTGTCACATATTTAAGTTCATGTACACACACGAATAAAGGCGCTTAACACATCTATTTAGAACACACATCAAACACAAATATACTTTAGAACCAAACAATGTTCATTTACCGAACAATCATAGAGTACAAAATAGCATGGACATATAGTGACTTACCCCACATAATTAATGTCATATTCTTGCACACGTCACGTGACTTACCCCACTTAAATGACACATGCTGCATGTAGCATAAAACCATTCGGCAAATCACGTGACCAGTGACGTTGAAATTATTTCAAAATGGATGAAACAAGCGAGGAAAAAAAATTTGAACAAGATTCATATTCACAATTCAGAGAGGAAATTCAGAAGTTGTTAGATCATTGCAGCATGAGGCTACAAGCGATCCTTTCTTAATAGAAGATACGTGTTCGCGATTGGAGAATCACACCAGAGCTCTTAGTATATATAGATGGGCAAGTCACGTGACCAAAGTCAAAGTCACGTGACTTACCCCACAAATGAATAGGCCTATGTTTAACACAAATGAATATGTTTACCTAACACGAATGGTACTTGGCATCGTATATATTTATAAAATACTTATCAAATGTATATTTGATCGGATCCAATACAGTTTTGAAGCATCTTACATATTTGTTGTGTAAGACAGTCAATTATATGTGGGATAGTTGGTACCATTTGTTGTAACTGGTTTTGTTTATGTTCGGTTTAACTTACTCCGTAGGGTAAAAACCGAAGACATTAATGTTACGAATATTGATGCAATAAATACACTATAGAGGAAGACATGTCTATGCTTTCCTTTACTGAATGAATTACTTAAATCCTTTGGTATTTGTCTTATTCAGGGAATAGAATTTACCATTTATATCTGGCCACCAGGATGTAAGTGTAACAGGTTGATTTTACATTCACAATGACATCGTCATGCTAATACAGATAATGTTACCAAGAAAGCTAATCTTATTATGTAACCTATTTAACTCAAGTAATTGAAGGGTTGCTAATCTGCAAACTTTGCAATGGAAATAATTTTTTCTCACTTGGTAGATATGAAATGCAAAACAATCATATTTCAATTAATAAATTGGTAAATAGAATATCTGTATAGCTAGAGTACTCCCATATACTTGTGAAGATGTTGCAGGCAGTCACATATTGTTTCCATGATGATTTCCAATGAAATTTCATGTTGCCAAAGCTTTCATCAAGTGCCGTGAATTCCAAGAAGTTAATAAAGAAACAACTTTGGAATCCCCTGTAACCCCCCTCATATACATTCTTATAAAAAAAATGAGCGACCCTAATTATATTTGTATTAACTGTATTATCATGTAACCTTACATTATAATGTTAACCTAAAACTTGAATAAAAAAAACAAAAAAACAACAACTTTGGAATCCATTCTGCCATGAAGATGCTCTGTGCAAATCTATGGCCAGGAACCGAGGAGGGCAACGGAGCTAAGGAAATTATCAAATGTATCGACGATGTATTGGCAGCTGAACATGAAGGCTGAACATGAAGGTCAAATGTTCAGGTAAACATTTATTTTAAATGATGTGCTTCTCACATAAAAAACAAAACAAATTCACCTGATTCTATGTGGGCCTCATCTGACATCTTGTTAAGTTCCTTCTTCCTGATACGTTAAATTTGGAGAACTTTTTATTTTGACCTAATTTTCGGACACCCTATCTCAAAAGTGAGTAAAATCACAAACAAATTCACCTGATTCTATGTGGGCCTCATCTGACATCTTGTTAAGTTCCTTCTTCCTGATACGTTAAATTTGGAGAACTTTTTATTTTGACCTAATTTTCGGACACCCTATCTCAAAAGTGAGTCAAAATACTTTCTGACGGCAAAGGCTAACACTATCAGCACACTCTTGGCTGCATGTATACACAATTTCGAAGAATACTATGAAAGTGTCGTTTCAGAATCGCAAAAATAAGGAAAAACTTTGAAACTGACCTAGATTTTGACCTAGACCTTTTGGTTTCCAAATTTTGAGGCAACTTAGCTTTAGATTGTGATATTGGTTCTTAAATGGTGGAGAGAAAGGGGGTATAAGACATTGTTTCTTTTCACGTTAGATCATGGTTTCGGGCTATATTGGGTTTGTTTTTCTTGACCGGTATGCACTTAGAGTTTGCATTTTCTTGCTAAGTTCCATTACAACTTTTGGTCCCTTCCCTTTGGCACTAGTGCTTATATTTAGAGGTCCACTTTTATTGTAGGCTTTTATTAGGCTTAGCTGTAGTCAGTCTGTATTTCAAATATTTTCAATTCAAAAGTTTCCACGATAGCCTTGTGGCATGAGTGCACAGATGGACGAGGGCTTACACAACTCCAAAGGTCCAAAGGGAATTACTTAATGTTGAATTATGAATGGATGCCCTGGCATCGTACCAACTATGACTTTAGCCTCATTGACATTAACAGGTAATAAATGTTCATTTTTGAATGTGATGTCAATTTAACATTACATTATCATTAAACCATAGTCCCTTTGTTTCCAGCTAGTATTTATTCACCCTAAATGTTAGTTGATTCCAGATTGTGCTTGCTAACTCAAAACATCTTTATAAAATATCATATCTCTTGTAGACTTTGATGCATTTAATTCTTGAATGTATCAGAATCTAAAATACTACTGAACCATTGATGCAGAAATAGAGAATAATTGCAACCTCACCAAATAAAGATCCCAATACTGACACACACATGTTATTTTTTCAAAAACTAATTATAGTCAGTGGCGGAAATATGGCCTAACTAGCTCAGTGGATGCTAAAAGTAGCAATGTTAGCCTACCACTAAAATCACTAACATAAACATTAGACTTGGATCAGAGTCAGGTGATGCCCATGTCTCCTCCATCAGTCTCCGTATAGGGTGCCATCTTGGAACTGGACTTTTGGAAAGGTGATCACAATGAAATCATGTCTGATGAAGAACTGGATATAGACAGTAGAGAAGTAACACTGAGAAGGCTGAGTTGGAGGACGGAATAGAGACATTAGAGATATTAGATAAAAAGACAAGAGAACTTCAAACATCAGATGAGTAAGATGATGGAATAACACAATTACGAAAGTTCAATTTCAAGCCTTGGTCATATTTTTCAGCATCTGAACATAGGGCATTCCTCGTAACATACAGGGCAGAGGTGTTGAGTGGATTTTTACCAGACGAGTATATGGGAATGTATTGTATTCTGTCAGCAGCCCCAAGAGAGAATTACAAAGTGGCAGGGATGATGCTATACAATTTCTATGATCTTCAAACTAGATACTTTGGTAGGCACATTGATAAATTAAAAATTAATAAAACGTAAAACATTTCAGGCTCTTGTTATTCACACTAATGTTGATTGTTCACATGAACAGAATCAAGAGATAAAATTTAAAAAAGATTAATAAAGAATGGTTCATGTTAAATAATCTGTTCCTCTCTTTGGTCGAGTCTATTATGAAAAGGCCAAGTAGTCATTAAGATTACTGGGTTGATATTGACCAGTTAACATGAATTTTACAAAGAGTAAGCTATAAATTGCAGATGATCTATTCATTCATAACTAGTATACTTGTATGAACACCTACCAAATAATTCAATCCACTCACTCTGACTAAAGCATTTATCAAATGTTAAACCTTAAAGATGTTTGTTCTTTCTACAATTCAAATTTGTGTTCAAAACCTTTTTAGGTCAAGCTTCACTGACCATGAATGCCCATAATGTTGGGTTATATCTTGTCCAATGTGCTACAAAATATGGACTGATATGGGCATTTGCGTGTTTTTGCACCAGAGTCTCACATTGGGAGCTGATAAGAACTATCCATGGAACACAAAATAAAGGCTTGCAGGTATGAAACACACTTGATTGATAACAAAGCAAAAAATAAATTCATGAGAGACACCTTTTAACCTTTTTAACAATTTTGACACTTGCTTAGATCTTATTTGATTTGATTGTTATATACTAAATTCATATAGCTAAAGCCAACCAGACACTACTAAAATGGCAACATTTCAAAACCTCAAAGGAATTTTCACAAAACTTAAGTTCAAAACGAAAGAATAGATAATACAGGGCAAGAGTCATGTAAGAGTCATAACAAGAGTCATGTACTAATATGTTACAGTGTTAATGAGATGTTGCGGTGTCCCCAAAATTAAATATTTGGAGTTATTGAATAAATTCTATAGAACTTTATACCAGTGTTTGGACTCAATCAATATATGCACCAAAGGGTAAGAGAGTAGTGCAATACTATAAATGTGCCCGATAGTCAACATTAACTAACTTGAAGCTGCGAGACTAATTGACGAAGCATTGCACCGCAAAACTCTACACCACAAACTATTGCACTGCAAACCTCTGCACCGCAGAGTTCTGCACCGCAAATTATCTGCACCGCAAAGTTATGCAACACCATCCTTAATTAAATAATCAGTCCATAAGACACCAGAAGTGATATTATATGTTGTTGTACCCGAGTTCTGTCACCATCCTCGCACACGTCCCCACCATAAATATAAATTTGTATAACTATTCCCCCTCCCTTAAATATGCCTGACGCTACCAACCGCCACTGATAAGGGATTATAACAATTATCGCGGGAAAACGTTACAGATTAATGGAACCAGTTTGTCTTAACTTTGAGGGTAACTAAGCAGAAGTAATGTGGCGATCCCATGTACAATGCCTGTACAAGAACAAGTTATTGTCAAGTCAATTAAGAAAAATTTAAAAAGCATTTCCATGTATAGATAATAAAGCTCGTAGATTTTATTTAAATTGTAATGGCAAATATTATAAAATTCACCTTATTATCTAATTATATCCACAATTGAAATAATTTCAATTAATTTCTCATTAAAGTGGGAATGACCAATCTCAGCTGCACATCAGTACCTTGCCGGTGGAAGGAACCCAGCACACCAGAGGTTCCTATTGTGTTAAGGGATCAGCTGTGGAAGAATGAACATTATTCAAAATCTGGTAGGATCCCACGCCAGAAGTTTTTTTGATTATTTTATTTTATTTTTTATGTGACTATGACTGACGCAATCCTTATGTGCTTTCAGGTCCTTTGAAATGCAGAGAGGACGAGATTCCAACACAGGAAGAATGAGGCATGACCCTTATTATCGCCAAGGGAATCTAGTTTTATTGCATGTAGAATTTATTGATATCAGACTACATGCCAGTGATGTTTTAAGATAAAAAAACACTTGGAAACCATATTTAACGCCTTTTGATGTTCAGAAATGTAATCTTATGTAATATTAAGATGTACAGATGGATTTCAGAGAGTATATGGGTTATATGAAGACAACAGACGTGACATTACTATATTTTGAAAATTTGAAATATTTGAAAAAACGAAGTTCTACACTGACAAACCACTACTGACACGAGGTTTACGAACATGAATAACCAGGCTTGCAGATTTGCACAGAAGGTCAGTGTAAAACCCTTTATGCCTCTGATAGTAAACCCTCATTTAGGAAGACATTTAACTTTCTAATAAAGTTAAAAGATTTTCGAAAAGTGCTCGATTTTTTCTTGTAGTCAATCTACCCATATAATTGGTCGGTTGGATAATGTTGTGTTTTTACACATTTTCTTTGATCATTTCCTCCCCTGTCGTCTAAGAGTGTTGAAGATTTTTATGAGAATATGTTTCTTTATACAGCACAATGAAGGTCTGTAGAAGATTTAATAAGTATTAACATTTTGGCTAAAAATCATAAGTGTATAAAAAAAAAAAGTTGTCAACTCGAATGTCCCATTGAACTAACTCAATTCACAGTTAACCCTAATGCAGACAACGTATTATTCATAACACTAACAGACAAGGGGGTCAGTTGCATTTAAAATTGAAACAGAAAAAGTACAGAATTACAACATACATGTATTCTATTCCGAGACACTGGATCGGAGTTTGGGCTGGAAGCTAACACCAAATGGGCACAAATTAATAGACAATTAATAATAATATTAATTTATAGACAAATAGCGTAGGAATTATGGAAATCTCGAAACCAAGCATAATATCAGCGGGGATGGAAGGGATGCTAGAAGGCTGTATATAATTGAAAATCAAGATAAACAAAAAAATAATACAGACTTGGGCAAGGCTATATGTATCTGACCAAACAATATTCTATATGTTCTATAACAGAAATTATACCAGTAATACATTGATAAATGGTGCCATGTAGCGCAACTGAATAACTTTCTATGAATCTTCATATATTTGGTTTTGTAGACGAAAATAAATTGCATAAAATTATGAAATGGACACTTAATCAGCATAGAAATGTTGGTTTCCAACAATAGTATTTGCCATAAATCAAAATCAAGGCCTCTGTTAGCTATAGTGTGATAAATGATAATAATGATTATCCCACTGAATGGAGTTCTAGGGAGATATAGAAAAACTGTCCATCATTCATCTCTCCAGGCAATATCTCAAATACCGTTTGACAGATTTAATTCAAATTGTGTAAGTTGACAGATTTGGTTCAAATTTAACTCAAATACCAGTGAATTTTTAAGTTTCATTTTTTCAGGTTCAAATAATTCAATAAAGAAGTGTAATTCTCAACCAGTTGCTAGCTTGTGGAAAGTTTTGCCTTATCAACCATCCCGACTATGTTGGTGAATGGCCATTGGTGTAAAGTGATTAGGAATCACCCAAATAATACCACAACAATTGAGTGGAGAGTCTTGTACAAATCGCAGTATCGAGAATACAAGCAGGGAAGAGGTGTTGAAATGGAAAAAATTAACACAAACCTCATTTTAAAACATTCTTTTGAGTTGACACCCAACAATTCTCTGCCAAAAAAGATAAAAATTGGGCACAATTATACAGTGGAATTGATGGACCGGACGGATGAACCAGGACTTACAGACGAACAAGGACTTACAGATGAACCAGCACTTATAGTGAACTCAGTGACAGACAATGTAGTACCAGAAGTGACAGACCTGACGAACAAGCCAAAACCCACAACAGAGCAACAGACAGACGGATTGGTACCTGAACAAGGATCGGAACAATTGATGGACCAGATGGATGCACATTAGAGGACCCCTGGCCCAATGGCCCCATGGTACGAGGAGCCATGCCTGATCCATGCCATGTCTAAATTTCTTCTATTCCTCAAGTTGGGGTGTAACCTAATATCACCTGAAATTGCAGCTTCATTGGAGGAACAAATGCGCCTTTGGAACCTATATGATATGGTATGATCTAGTGAACAAACATGGAAGAATATTCCAGCTGAAGGAGACGCCATGGATTCTTGGATGCATCACTAATAATCCTGGCTTTCATGGTTTATGTACTAATAGACTAACACTCGACGCAGCTATAAAATGCAATTGTAAATAATGTTTTTGATAAGATTTTATTAGTATTTTAATGTCATTTTACTATTAAAATGTGTTAAAAAATTATTTTATACCCCTACCCCCTGTTTGAAAATGAATAGATGGCGCCTCTTTAACTGCCCATAGCGAATTCACTTACCACACATTTTTATTCAACCCAAGATGAATTTATTCTAGAGAGTGTCTGGAACAAAATGATACCCTCAAACCTTTTTTCCCAGCCGAGTAATGAAATTTTAGCTGGGGACAGCATCATACATGTATATACCCATGTACATCTGAACTAAACAAATCGGCTGCTAAAATATCAAAATTTTAAAATAACAAACATTAGATAAAGATGATTTATGGATTCCTATATTTTATTTCCTGTGGTATGAATCTTAAAATGCAGCAAATTGATAATGGTCTTGTTGGAAAACTGAAATTATTTTATATTTCGCAGGCAGGAAATCGAAGAACAGAATGCGCATGTGGAGTATGCTATATGCAGCTAAAAACCGAGTTTCTTTTGAAGACAGGGGAGATGATTCTGTGCCAGTTGTAGAGGTCCCTATGACAAAGTTCTGCCAAACAACAATGACTTTGATGAAGTTGAAAACAGAACTAAACTGGTCATCAAGCGAAATGTCAAGTAAGTTAAATATATTAAAGTGGTAGCAAAATTTAGAGAGTAAAATGTGAATATTGTTTTTCAAAATCTAATTTCTACCTTGCAATTCTGATTTGATTCAGAAGGATCTGAAAAAGAAAAAGTGGTTGCAAAAGTTAAAATAGGATTAAACTTCCACTACATGATTTTGAAAGAATTCATGGCCAGGGGAGACCCCTGATTCCCGAACCCCATTGGCTACGGGGCTGACTTCTATAAGATATACTTTAGTGTTGTGTACTCTTTGCGATTGAAAACATTAATTTATTGTTATAATTTTGTTAAACTTTACATTTTTTCATAGAGATGCTGTCCATGGACTATCTAGAGTTAAGTGGGACACAAGCCTCACCAATACAGCACACAGATGGACAAGAAAAGTGATCTGGTTATATAAATAAATGACTGAAAATTTATCTGAGCACAATAGAGGTGAAAACAGAAAATGTGTATTCAAAATGGAATGAGAATAATACATGCAGTTTGTGTTAAACAATTGATCTTCTTTTCATGAATGTATTTACCACTTCCACATTGGCAGTTTAATATAATTGAAACATTTGTTTTAATTTTCATATTGTACTTCATTTGATACCTTGTTTCTACATTTTAGACAAAGCTGGGTGTACTAGATATTGACTCCCGCACATGTGTGGGTAATATACAGCTGCTCCAAATTATACAGCAATGATATGTATCTCGAGATGAACACAATATGATATAAAAGGTACTTATTTTTAAATCTAAGCTACACACACCTAGATTTAATGAAGATAATGTACTTAGTGTCATGCATGTTTCATGTTCAAGTTGGGGTCATCATAGTTTTGAAATTGTATCATTCGCTTAAGTTGTAACTTAACTAATACATTTTTGGGTGCTAGCTTACTACCTAATAAGTAGCTAGTACATTCCTCCCTCCTCAATCAAAATTAGCTATACAGGCTATGCTTACCACTGCTTTTTTGGTCTGCTCAGGGTCAGTGAGATGACTGAAACTAAAGCGGGGCATAACCTTTTGATCCAAGATTTATCTTTTTGTAACAAGGAGGCATTCATCCTCTCTTTTAGACATTTTAAACATAGCAACGGCCCAGTCAAAGTAGTGGTGCGTAAGCAAAGCCCAATTGATCCAGTGCATTACATGGAAATATATTTGAATACTAGGGGTAATGCTCCAGGGCCAATTTTTCAAGTGAACGCTAAAGCGGTTTCAGCCCCTTTCTTTAATGCCACTTTGAAGTCTATTTTGGGAAAGTGTGGGTTGGATACTGCCCTATATAAATCTCATAGCTTACGCATTGGGGGCGCCACACTTTTGGCTACAGCAGGGTTTGATGATTATACTATTCAAAAAGCAGGGAGGTGGCGTTCCCTTGCATTCAGGAAGTACATTCGTTGATCGGGGTTATTTTTGTTTAATTTCTTTCTTTCTCTTTCAGTTTGAATATGATACCCCCCCCCCCTCCGTTCCCGAGCCTCTCCCCCCCCCCTCCGGCTCAAACCCTGGACCCAACTGGCAAGGAATAAGAGAGAGACGAGTAGATCATCTTATTTGGACTTTAGTACAAGACAATTTCAAGAATTTGAACTTTTTATAAAGACAATTTTAAGAATTCAAACAGTTTTATAGTTAATGTTAGCCATGAGCTTAGTTTTAAGTGTTTTAGGGCCCTACGGGTCGCTGGGGGTACAAGGATACTCCCCAATTTTATTTTTTTTAATAGCTTTCAAGATAAAACATTTATAAACAATTCCTTCAAACATTAGATCTTTTGAGAATTAATTCAGGCTCAATGGGTTAATTTTGTGGGTCTGATAAATGAATCAGCTCATTTTAGTCAATAAAGTTTATAGTTCTACTATTCTTTCTCCTGTTTCATTATTTAATGGGTGGTGTAATAAAGTCATGTGGGTCAAGGTTGGGTTTTTGTGGCGCTCCCGTTGTGACGGGTATGGCCGTTTATTGCCACAAAGCTTAAGGGATGCAGAAGTCAAGGGGGGGCAACCGCCGAACCGGGGCTTCAGATGGTTGGTCAGAAAGGAAGCAAGCTAAGGGATCGACTAACCACAATCAATGTTCGAGGTAAACACAGATGGGTAGTTTGCTGGCGGTGATCAAAGACTTTCAGGTTAGTCAATTTGGTATAGTTTGTTCTTTGCAGCACCTGGGAGACTGAAAGGTCCTCAACGCCAGCTGTTGTACTTCTGTTTCAGGTAGAAGCCCAGCGGGTTATTTCTTGAGTTACTTTGTGGTAGGTTACACTGCTCTTTGTATGCCTTCTTGAACACGACTCCCAACAGGCATTTCACATAGGCATACATAAATCTAAATTATAGAATATAATTTCATTTATGGAGCCGTTGGGAGTGTGTTCGTGTTCTTAGTTCTCCTCATCATTAGTTGGTTTCCGGGTTTTTGTCATAAGCGGCATTATTGTTGTTCTTAGCTTAAGCGGCCTTATTGTCTTGACCTAAATTCAGAACGAGGCAACGCAGACGACATTAAAACCAAATATTCGTTTGGGCTCCTTTAATTTCGTTATTTAGTGAGTATGTTCCATCTTACATTAATTTGCCTCCATCCCGCCCCTGTCCACCTGCTTGTTAGATTGGGCTGGTGGTTTTGGGGTTGTTGGGGGTTGTTTGTTTTATGTTTTAGTTGTGCTATTATTGCCACAAAGCTTAAGGGATGCAGAAGTCAAGGGGGGGGGCAACCGCCGAACCAGGGCTTCAGATGGTTGGTCAGAAAGGAAGCAAGCTAAGGGATCGACTAACCACAATCAATGTTTGAGGTGAACACAGATGGGTAGTTTGCTGGCGGTGATCAAAGACTTTCAGGTTAGTCAATTTGGTATAGTTTGTTCTTTGCAGCACCTGGGAGACTGAAGGGTCCTCAACGCCAGCTGTTGTACTTCTGTTTCAGGTAGAAGCCCAACGGGTTATTTCTTGAGTTACTTTTTGGTAGGTTACACTGCTCTTTGTATGCCTTCTTGAACACGACTCCCAAAAGGCATTTCACATAGGCATACATAAACACAATTATATATGCAAAAGACAATAAGCCAAGGTTTGCCTTTTGAACTGTGAAGCAGCACCTTAGACTATCCACAATGGTTGCCACAGTCACAATTTGATAAATACACAATTTTATCACAGATTCATCTCCCTTATCTGAACCTTTGCTATATGAATCATACAAAAAGATAAACAATTACCAAACTTACAGAACTGGATGAGACGGTATTATTCAGGGAAGAGCATACGCCAGCGGGCTACCCAGTTGAAGGCAGCATTTCACCACAGAAATTTGTCATCAAATGTGATGGAAAATTTCCATCATGTGGAGGACTTTTTTGATGTAAGTTATATCTATTATTGTATAACAGTAATTACAAATGAAGAAATGACCCTCTCGACCCTACTAATGAAATTGTTTTTTTTGTCAAAAATTAACATTTAGTCACAACCCCTTGCAGTATAAAAATTTTGAATATAACTACATGTAATAACAAAATTTGAATACAGTAAAACTCCTCTCTGTTGGAAGTACTACAAGTTAAAATATTTGAAAAGAAACAAATCACATATTATTCTATACTCAAATTGTTGTGTGAATTCACATTTTACTCTTCTGTTGAAGAATGCATTTGTTTTTTGAAAGTTTGTAGCAAGAGCGTATACAAATCTTCTAGCATGCAAGATCCTGGGGGTTGAAAATCTTGAAGCTGTAAATGTTCCTCAAGAAGGAAAAGAGGAGTGGCTTGAACGTCTGGCGGATGATGTGTACAATATTATTAAAGCCAAGCCAGATGATAGAACTCTGGAGAAAATGATAAAGTCCTACAAGAATGAACTTCAGCAGCCTTATTATCCTGATATTGAATTGGATGAAATGGCTTGTCCATGTGGTGATGGTATGCCATCGAAGTAGATTAAGGATGTTACACGTTACATTGTTCTTTTCTTAATTAATTTGAATTTCTTTTTAGCACTGTAACAAGAATGAGGCTGGATCTAAAAGAAGGCAATAATTTATTTTTCGAATTTTTGTAGGATTTCTGTTGTAACTAAGAAAATAAATGGACAGACGAGATGTTTTCACTTACAGTACAACTAGTAGTCTAGC